CAATATATAGTTAGATCGATTGAATTGATTCGTTTGCCAGTACTTAATATTTCTCTTAACGAGAAGAATCTGCCGTGACCCGATAAATGTTTCTTAAAGAGCGTAGCGACTGTGTTTTAAGGAAACCTCTGAGTTTCCACCTGCGCTTCTCATTACCCGGAATGGTTATGGGACCCCCGCGTGAGCTTTGCTCAAAGGTCAATGTGTTTTATGAGCTGGAAGTAGAAAAATTAAGGTAGCGGGGATCAGCTTAATGTTTGATAATTGCTATCTACACGCTTAAACTGTAATGTAGCTCTCTTATGGCAAAACGTAAGTTTTATACAACGAATAATGACAAAAAATGAGATCAGATTGAAGCGGTTTTGCCGATATTCTTCGATGTTGTGGCCATCGATGAAGGGCTACTGTCGCTTCCACTCCTCCGGGTCCACAGAAATACGACGTGTTCAGCCCAGACGATTCTCCAGTGAGTCCTTTTTACGAAAAGCGTATGAAGCCGAGAGCGGAAATACAGCCCCGGCGATGAACTGGAATACTAGTCCGAATCTCCAGAAATTGTTCAGATAGCTGCCGATTGTGCATACAGCATTTGCAACATGATTTATCAGGGTCTAAAAGCTACGGTTAGATCTATTTCGGAATCTTTTATAGGGGTTCGGAAGTCAAAATTCGTGCATACGGTGATTGAACCTAGTGGTCAAAAGACCGAAAGAGTCACTCCCGAGGAGTACCAAAAAAATGATTTTATTGCGAAAAACCTTAAATATTTGAGTAAAACCGCAACGTTCTTGGGGCGAAAACGACATTTTGGCTGGGCGGCGATTACATGTCGTAATGTCTTGTAAGGCACCCAAATCACGTGATCTCGGTGGTTTTCTGATCAATTTTCATAATTAAAAAGTCTAGAAGGATAAAAATTCGGTAAGGATTACACAAATAGCTTCAGAATTTTTTAAATCCAAGCGTTTTCACGTCCAAACAGGAGCAAAAGAGCATGCCACGCGGTCGTGGTGCGGTCGCATCTGGCTACCTGCCAGGAATCAACGCAGGAGGACGTGCACCAGTTTTCGGAGCCCCTTTAAAGGGCTGGAGAAAGATGGTCCGGCTTCTGTCGGGCTGACGGACCGATGGGACGCTACTATCAACGTAATTCATATTCGAAATTCGCAATTTTTTTTTGCAAGGCTAAATTTCGGAGCAACTCAGAGCGGGAAACACGCAAACGGCGGCCTGTGGAAGACCCCTAGGGTATTTGAGGGCTTACGGCACGCCGGCTTGGTTGGCGCCATGGTGTTTTGCTCGTTGGGCTGTGGGGCAAACCGTCGCAGGTTCGACTCCTGCCGGCTGCAAAATTCTTTGCTTTTTTGCCAGATGCATCTTTCTCGAGGCCTTGAAGCGCTGTTTCTAAGCTTACCGTAATCACTAGGCTTTCAGATTCCATGTTTCTCTTTTTTGATTGACTATCGCGGGTCTTCTTCTAAAGGTCAGAGCGTCTCTTCAGCGGGTATCAAAACACTACCGCATTAATGAAGACAGTTCGCAGCACCATACAATCCATCACACTCTCCCCTAGCCACAACAACATTGGAACATAGAAATGAACCGCGTAATCATATCTCCGCAGCCATTGGCCACCATCTTCATTCCATGCTTTGGGAAACACAGAAAATTGCATGCCTTCCGAGTTGATTCCGATAAAGTAGAGCTTCTCTAAAAATTCACGTTTTGCACGATCGAAAGTGAATAAACATGACGGTATATACAACGCCAAGTATCACTGAAAAGGGGTGCGACAACTTCGTCATAGACGCTACTGAAGGTCGGAAATCGCTACCAAAGGCGAATGGAACGTTCAGAATGATGGCGGGGATGAAACAACCATCAGCTTCAATGTATCTTCCATTGAATTTTTCGATAATACGTTCCGTTAAATTCGACCGCAAAGAATCTGAATTAGGGGGTTATGCACTGGGAATATAGCTGTCAGGTAACCAGGGAGGTCAGGTAATCTACAGGTTCCAAAAAAACATCCGCTTACATCCAGTCGGAGCCAAAATTTTTCCCAGAGGTTTACCAAACCCTTAATAACAACCATCGTATTGTGTTAAGTATATTAAGTAACGTATAACCATCGTATTAAGGCCGCCATGGCATTTTAGGTAGTGAGCAACCTTTTGGCCGAAATCTCATCATCTACCTGGTCAACGACATCAGAAATTGCGTCATGACGATCGTAAACAATAAATTTAGATAAATAAACGCGAGCGCCGTATCAACGGTCCAATAACCCCATTTATTCCGTGTATCTCAAATCCGTAAAAATAAGCAGGCTGAAAAGACATGCCTATTGTTGCGATGTCTTTACAAAATATAGCAGTTGAAAACGGTTTTTCGGTCTAACAATGTGTTTAAAAAGGGATGCTTACTAAAGCCTGGCCTGCACGCCCCAAAGTGTTTGCATAATGATAATGAGGGCTCGACATAACGTCTCGATATAGAAGAGAGGCTTGATGTCCTTCGCAATTTTGTCGTTGACCTTCACGACGTACAACGCGAGGCATAACACCGGAATTGCAATGAGACTAATCTGCAAATTTTCAGGGCATAAATACCTGAAAGTGTGTATACCACGCCCATGGAAACCGTGCCAAACACTTCATCCACTGGTAGCTGATCAAAATAATCATCTGCAACATAGTAGTCCCGATAGTCGTTGGGGTCTATATCGCTGGGATAAAACAATATATAGTCTTCATAATCCTCGGTAAAGTAGCCATAGGCGTTGTATGTGTAGTACTCCGCACCATTCCACTTTCCAACAGTAGCGCAGTATTCGTTGTATTCATTGTAGTAATCGATACAGCCCCGTTTTCTCGTGGTCGAGACGACGGGCGTGGCGGTGGTTGTGTATAAATCAGCGTATTTTTTGGTATTTTTGTGTATAGTAGATTGAGTAGAAATCTGGAGGTTCCCGGCCAAAGTCGTTGCCTTTGTCTTGATAGCCTTCGCCGTGGTTTTGAGCTGGTTTGAACCGATAGTTGTTGCTTCAGTTAGTAAGGAATTCAAGGTTGTCAATTTCGACTTGTCCATTTTAGTAGTAAGCGGGCTTCCAGATGAAAACCGTGTTATTGCCAGCGGGCTAAAATAAACCAAGCGTGGGAGCTGCGAGATCAAACGATTTTGAAGTATGGGCTACAGTAGTTTACGACGTTTCGCGGGTTCCACCTGCCTTACTCATTAGCTTTGATGGTTTCGGCAGTTCACATGAGCTTTTTAGAAAGTCAGCCCACGCGTTTCTTTTGCAACTAGAGAAAGGCGGGAATTGCTAGCACATGTAGTGAAACGCCCTTGATCTAGATTGACCTCTGATGCGGGGGCATAATCATCTTTCGCAGCGATAATTGTTTCGCGGGTTCGGAATTAAGATTGTAACGCCTTACAAGGTAACTAACTTGTAACTTACAAGTTAGCCACGCTATACATATACAGGGTGTCCCAAAAACGAACCATCTGGCATTTCGCCGTGTTGCATCCAGTCGGCCCTAAATTTGGCCAAAAGGTGTATCAGACCCTAAATAACAACAATCCTGACTTATAGTTCTGTAGATATCGTGGTTTTCGAGTTATAACGAAAATACTGCTTTTCCCCCAAGTTCTAAACAGTTTTTTTCGGCTATTTTTGGAGTTTGCATCGACGACTTCTGGTTGCGAATCCCTAATTTCGCTTAAGAACTTGGGTAATTTTGCGTTGTAAAAATCGCTTAAATCAAAGCTTATTTAATTAATTTTACTCTGGAAAAAATTCTTAGATATCCTAGAAAGACCTACCGGATCATTTTCACTTAATGTTTAGAGGGTCTAATTCCACGAAAACCCTGTGAAAAATGGACAATAAAGTTTGTTTTTGCCATAACTCGAGATCTACTATAGCTACGGGGCTATAAGTCAGGATTGTTGTTATTTAGGGTCTGATACACCTCTGCTGCAATTTTGGCACCGAGTGGATGTAAGATGGCAAAATGCCAGATGGTTCGTTTTGTTTTGGGACACCCTGTAGTTATACAATATAACAGACCGGGAAGGTGACTTAAACGATTTTAAAAAGACGATTTTGGAGAAAATGTGGTGGATGCTTCGTTATTTAATCCGGTTTACTATCTTCTTTTTTCGTTTTTCACCGGGCCTCCAAACCATTTGTGAGGCTTTCCTTGACTTTGAATCCCTGGCAGCAGGGCTGGCTCCTCGATTGCGTTGCTTGACGCTTTCAGTGTAAAAGCCAGAAACAAAATGCAGGCACATAATTTGGTATGTAAACTGTTTATACAACGTAAATAGCGAAATCCAATATCAGACCGTCTTCGAAGTCTTCGAAGAAGTGCTGTTGTCGTTTCTCTCTCGCCGTGTCCATAGGAAGATGATAATATTCAGCCTAAATCTGACCCACTGAAAAGAATGCCTTTGTACCCAAAAAGTGTATAGATTGTGAGTGGACAGATCGTCCCAGCCGCATATCGGAAAGTTTGGCTATAACGCCAGAAATTTGAGAGATAAGCCCCGACCGTACATCCAGCATTTGCACAGTGGTTGATCAGGGTCTGAAATACAAAGGAGAGTTCTTTTTTAATATATATTACAGCAAGAAAATCACGTATTCTTGGATGTCAAAAAACAAGCCACGCAGGCACTTCCGACACATTTAAATGCGAACGTTAAAAATAACCATAGCAGTCACGTCAACTTACTGTCAATGCAAGCCGCACTTCCATGCTACGCTTCTTGGTCTGACTGTCCCGGGTCTTTCTCTGTAAAACGTATCTTAGAGCTAGGATTATAGCAGATTTGGCTTAGCTTGGGGCTACCGGTTTAAAAGGCGGTCAGGATAATTGTAATCTAAATCTTACCGCATTCCGAAATACCGTCCTCAACACCATACAATCCAACACACTCTCCACAAGCCAAAGCAACATTGGAATAAAGAAATGAATCGCATAATCATATCTGGTCAGCCAAAAATGGTAGAGGTCTCCATCGTAATTATCCCGGCGTTGGTACGCGGCCAGAACTTCAAACTGCATCAAGTCGGCTGCCATCCCGGGCACGTAAAGGGACGCTAGAGTTGATGGGTCGTTCATAGAACCAGAGCCACGCCTGGGACTTACGGGATTAGGAAGGGGACGTTTAATAAAACGGACGGCGCAAACACAAACAAAATCTTGCAATATATACTTACACTGAATTCTGTGGTAATAGAGACCGTTGAACCCGACAGCGAAGAATCTGTATATCATTGCGTTTGAGAGCAAACTCGATTTTACCTATTCAGCGACATCATAAGCTGTGTCATTGCTATCGTAAATCCGCGACGTAGAAGAGAAACGCAAGGACCCTATCGCAAACCCAGTAATTCCAAATGCCCTCCTCCACGTAGAAGTCCGTATCCGTAAAGACGCTAAAATCAGGTGATTATACATCTTATACTATTTTCATTCTAGCTTACTAGAATAGGCCTTGCAGGCCCCAGCTTGACTGTATAATAATAATAAGCACTCGGCACATCGTTTCGATATAAAACAACGGTTTGATATCGTTCGCAATTTTGTCATTAACCTTGATGACGTATATAGCCAAAAGAAGCACAGGGAGTGTTATTAGGGTAATCTGAAATCGGTTGTCAACACGTTTAATATGCGTATATTAAACCTAAAGTCCAATAAAGGGACAGTTTAACGTGAACTTAAAGGTTCGAAAACTTTTGATCCAGAGTTCTTGTGCGCTTTTTAAAAATAGACTCGGAATTAGCAAAAATTTTGCAGAAGAGTCCCGTCTGGAAAGGCACCCCGACTATACGAGGTTCATTTGTAAGCGATGAGACTAACCATAAACGTTTTCATGCAAAAGATATCTAATCTCGAAGTGGTGCTAATATCAAATTCGTACCGTTCCCATTGTTATTGCGCCAGTCACGTGGTCGAGGCTCGGTATGTCAAAGTAGTCAGCCGGCTTATAGAAATCCTTATATTCGTATACGTCATAGCTGTCCTCGTAATACTCGTCGCTGCGTGGATAAAAGTGGACGTATTCCTGGTTCTCGTTAAAATATCCATATGCATTATAAATGTAATGCTTATGGCCCGTCCATAAATCGACCACGGCACAGTATTCGTTATATTCATTGTAGTAGTCGTAGCAGCCCCGTGTTCTTGTTGTCGAACGTACGGTGGTGGTAGTGATCTTCGTGTGTTTGGTAGATTGTGTGGAAGTCTTTAGCGTCGTCGCCAAAGTGGTAGCCTTTGTTTTGATAGAGACTGCCGTAGTTTTAAGTTCGTTTGAAGTGATAGTTCTTGCTTCAGTAAATAAGGAATTCAGGGTAGTCAATCTTGACTTTCCCATGCCTGTAGACAGGCGTAAATTTCAGAGAAAAACCGCGTTAACGTGATCTAAAATGGGGGAACAAAACCTGTGTGCTGCCTGGTAAACGGCTTCCGAGAATGGGCTATTTTATTTGACGACATTTCGCGAGCACCTGCTTTTCTCATTAACATTGGTTACCAAATCGTGAGACTTTTAGAAGGTCACACACCGGTTTTTTTGAAGTAGAAGAGTCTCTACTGGGCAGACGCTGTGTATATATGTGTATTACCGGGGTCTAAAACATAGATTTATTCGACGTTGGCTTTTCATGGTGTTTTCTTTGTCTTTGAAGGAGTGCTCCTCTCGACTCCGCCTCTTCTCGTCGACAAGAATATGGCAACCTTCAGACTGAAGTTCCTTAATTTTGAGCTCGCCGGAAGTCATGGTTACCCGAAAAGCGTGTCAATGGCACGAGGAAACCTAGCGGTTTCCAGTTTCAAACGGCTCGTAGCCTTAGAAAATGGTTCTTAAAGCTGACCCTTCAAGCCCTGACGGCTCAAACTCCGTAAGTTTTTGTGAACCATTAAATATACCTCAGATTTATGACCTACATCTTTTCTCAAGATTTCACCTGATATACAGCGAAATTATGCGATCAACTCGGGCCATGTGGATGTAAATGTCCCCTCTTTGCTTTTCAAAGCTTGCAGAAAAGAGTGGAACATGTGTTATTTAGTTAATTTATTGTCGTAGTAATCACTAAAAAATTTATTTGCTTTTTGATATGCTGGTGGATCGCTTCGTATTGTCAGGACGACCGTTTGCGTTGGAAAACCAGATAAAAGTACACCTAAAAATTGTATATAACAATGTGCAGAGAACCCACGCGAAGATCCCGTCAAAGAACAAAGGAATAAGGATATTTAATAAAGCTGGAACAATCGTTTCCATGTCCTTAGTGTTAGGTATCCCGATCAAAAAAATTAATAAAAATGACAGGAAGCTCAGCGTGTGATTGAAAAGGAGCTAAAATTCCGGTAGTCGGATACGGCCGATCAGTCAAAGCTACCGTCACGGATATTCGGGATTCTAAATGTCGGGTTTTCAGCCGGCTCCTGACTGCAAAAACATCGAAGATCAGGCTGGTCAGCAACAGAGCTAATGGGACATAATATAACATGATATCTCGTATCAGATAATTTGCCCTTTTCTTGATCAAAATTTTTGGGATAAACACTGCCACGACCGGGTGGAAATAGCATTGTATACTGCCAATTTGGTCAATAACATCGATAGCAAGGGGCGAGAATGGTAGAAATAATGCGAAAGAACACAGAACCGACACGATTAGCATAACCCGGATCAGAGCTGGACGAAAAGAAATAGACGCTAGCCTCGGTAAGCTAAAATTTTTATAAAGATTCACAATACCCTCAACCTCAAGATGCTGCTGAAAAAGAGAGACAAAACTATCTGAAAGCTGAAGGCGCTGTAAAAATACCCAAAATATAGACTGAGGATTAAGCTCAGGTAATGACGACTGAAATCTTGCTATCAAAAATATTAAAAAAAAACTCGCCAAACGATGCAGGGAATAACATAGAAAAAAATGATAGCAAGCCTAGCAAGGCGGAAAATATATTCCAAGATTAAAAATGAAGTGGCGGCAGAGTTAAAATTTAGGCGGCGTAAGCTTTGAATTACCATCAATAGTAAAGTGGCAATAAATGGAACTAGCTAAAAAACTTTTAAGGTCAGATTTATTGGCTTACAACGATTAATAACAAGGCTAGCCAACTTCGGTTTGACTCTTCGCTTGAATGAATTGCATAGAACAACCATTTTTCCAGCTCTTCCAAAGATGTCGGTGTGGAATTGGCAAAAATCTCATACGGAGTAAGGTCGATCGGGTCATAATAACCCGATTTTTTCACTAGCCAATTGAAATATTGATAATCGTAGTCATAATAATAGGACATTTATTAGAAACGGTTGCCCATGTAATGTAACACGAGAAAAGTCACATTCAACGCAAATTGGCGCTTTTGAGAAATGTCCCCCCGCACATCGAAATTACAGTTTGGGAATTGGTGAAGGAAAGTTCTGCATCAAGTCCGCCCCCCTCTCTGGGATACGGTACTTTCAGATCGTGGAAAATTATCGAACCATCCAGATTCCAATTGTCATAGCCGAGCTAAAATTATCCAAGAGTTTGGCGCGTTTCTAAAAAACCAACCTGGCTAGAGTGTCAAATAGAACGTCGATGGCCGTTTCCCTTACAAAGCTGTAGAGTGGATCTTCACGTCTTCCGATTCGATCGCCAATTATGATTAGACACTTTGCAGAATAGGACAAAGCTCCACAGAGGCAACCCAGGAACGTCTGAAATTTGTGGGCTACGAAACATAAGCCTAAGCTTAAGCCGAAGTCTAACCAACCCCAAACACAAGCGGCCACAAAATTTTCGATCTCGTTGCACTATCAGCTGCGTTGTGCTTAACAAAATCAGTTCGATCAGATATACCTCAACCTGTTTATAGCCAAACCAAGCGCACCCGGCACCCAGAATTAATGCCAAAATGGTGGAGTGCGGATAGAGGACCGTGTAGAAAACTTCTTTAGGTGTTGCTTGAAACCAGAAAAACCAGTCCCTGAAAGCTTTTACACTTAGTTACATGGAATTAAATAACACTACTGACATTGCCCGCTCCACGTAGGCGTGAGGATAATAGGCAAAGCCATAATACACTGAGTCCCGCACTAAAAAAACCATAAAAAGTACATCTACTAAATTACATTCCGTATCGTATCCATAGCCGATCGATGTCATATAGCTAATTAACGGGAATAAAACCGATAAAATAGGCCAAAAGATGCTAAGGATTGTCGCGCCTCGCTCGTATTCGTCTTCGTATGCCAAGATCAACGTTCTAAAGTTTTTTAAATCGATGGAAAGCCGCAAGTTACTTTCTGTATCACCCTCTAGAAAGTACAAGTAGAAGAAATCGGATATACAGACAATATCACCTTTCTATGATCAAGCCAAGCCTCAGCAGCCAGAACCATCTTTGAACAGCAACATGCAGGCTGCTGATATACATATTTGCAAAAAGCGAGAAGCCCGGTGTTTGGCACGACCATCTAAAACATCGGGTGCTTGCGAGAGAGAGATGAGAGAAAGAGAGAGAGAGGGACAGAGATAGCGAGAGAAAGAGAGAGAGAGAGGGACAGAGAGAGCGAGAGAAAGAGAGAGATGAAGAAAGAGCACAACAACTTACTCCAAATTACAGTTATATTGATACATCCTCACACAGCCATCATATAGTGCCCCAATAGCGTATGGCCAGAGAAAATTATTCAATCGCTGCAGCAGCCGCAATTTCATAAAAATCCCGGCAATCATTAGTAGGGCGACGAGAGTGTGAAGGATTCCAAACTACAACTTTTGCAAAGCGATTCGGCAGGGTCATACTGTTAAGAGAAACGGATTAACGATATAATCATAGCTTTGATTGAGTGTATTTACTTTCTTTTCAAATTCCTCGCGAGGTAGTAGGTGGTAGTCAGCATACAATCCTTTGAACATCTGAAAGTTATGAATTTTTACTTTTTGAAGAAAACGCTTCAATACAAACTACAAAAGTGCCATTTCAACCAAAAATAAGTTCATTGAAAGCTTTCGGCAACTGGATAATTGCCAAGGCCAGCTGAGAAGCTCGGAAATCTATAAAAAAACTTTGGAATGTAATAATTAGATGACATTTGGACAACTTTCGGACAAACAGCGAAATTTGGCACTTATGGCACTGTTGAAAACAGCAGCTCTGAAGGTGTATTATTACCCCCTCGGTGCACCAAACGGAATGTAGTCAAAAAGTCGCACTTTTTGTTTTTGGGGTATAATTAAACCCCGGATGAGCAGCAGCTTTCGGCACGTTCCTCATCAGAACTCTTCTTTTTTTAAAAAGCCGATAAAAACAATTCTTTATGAAAATTCAAGACACCGGCTATCGGCAGGCATGGAATTTTTGCTTACCACTGACCTTGGTAATTTATAATTTTTCTTAAAAAATATTTCGTTGACAGATTACACTAGTCGCAATCCCGGTGCATCTTTCAACATTTCTCATGGTTATTCGAAGAAAGACTTTGAGCAGCGAAACCAAGATCTTGATGGGAGCTTTGGCGCTTTTGCGACTTTTGGCAGCTCAAACTCGAAGTTTTTTTCGCGATGTGTGTGCATAGGTAAGCCTCGTGCTTTTTAGCCATTTCACAAACTCAAAAAGTATATTTGATACATAAAGTTTAGAAAAAACTGCTGGATAAATGTCAATAACAAATATTTCCCGCCAACGTTTACAAATATTATTGTAAGTACGTTGTATCTAAGTGTAAATTGATCAATGGTATTTATCGAATTCGCCTTGTCCATTAATAGGTTTGAAATAATTTTTGATCCACTAAATCTTTAGATTCTTTGCTATATTTTTTGGCGGAATTTACTTACCATTAGTGCAGCGCTGGTCCCCTCCGATTATATTGATTTTTTTGATACTCACAATTGCGAATTATGCATCAATGATCTGGGGCGGTTATGAGAAGCATCAACAATTGAAAATCTGGAGCTACTATGGCGAACATTTCAATTATCTTGGCGAGGTGGCGCGCGAAGATCCGGAATTGCAGGGAGATTTTCAGGTATGGGTTCATACTTTAAAAAAGCATAGATTTTTAGTGGTATTTTGCAAACGTCATTGAGCAGGTGATGTTTCACTCAACAATCTTGGCGATTACAGCTGATATCGGAACATATCTCATGCTCAAGAAGTTGGTATGGGACTTTGTTCTGGACCTCTTGATGTTGTCGCTTGTTTTTATATTCCAACCTTTCAGAAACGCGTGCGTCCAAAGAATGATTCCAAAAATCACGCAGATATTAGGCTATCAATTATGGTAGGTTAAACGAGAGAATATGACCTTAAGTCGCGCTTTTAAGCGAGCGAATATGTGAAATTCAGGCCGTCACCACCCATTGCGTTCAACTGATTCCGGCTCTAACCTCAGACTCGGATTCTTTCGGCGATTTTCGGAAGCTACTATCCGGATATATATTTATTACAAACTATCATTGGATTTCGGTGAATGCCGTGTCACAAATTTGCATGTCGTAAGCGAACGGCCTTTGTGTTCAACCCAGTGTTAATAGGCTTCTCGTGCTGTATTTTATGCGTCCGCAACGGCAGAAAATCACAGAAGTCACCACTGCAGTTTCGACGCAGGAGACTAGGATATAGGGATCAAAATAAATATTTAATTGTTATTTTTATCATCAGACATCAGACGTGCACGGCCGCCAGGTAAAAAATCTGGGCCAGAACGTCTCGCCATCGGCGATTCCACAGTGTTTTGATAACAATGCCGTAGACAAGAAGGCAAAATACGTAGATCGTGGATGAGCAGATGCTAATGCACTAGTTCCGTTTTGGATTTGATATATATCTATTCGGTATAGCCAGTGGTCGGTTTTTATCAAACACCCGTTAGCCGTGAGCGTCTCCCAAACTGAGGGTTTACGAGGTAATTTACAAGGCATTTCATTTATATTCATGTTGTATTTATTGTCTAGCGGAATATAGTCTTACTCCGTAAGCATAAACATTAGCCTATGCCTAAGCTTAAAGCCAGGCCCAAAACCAGCAAAATATTCAACATGAATTCAAGGGCTCGACAATCGATCGCCTTCGGTCCCCGTCATGCATCTGCTCAACCGAAAATCCTTGTGACGCGTCGGCAACAAGTTCAATCGACTGGACTAAAACATAGACAAAATTCCCCTTTAAAGCTCGAAAACTCCTTACAAAGACGTCGCCTCTCGAATTGAGTGGTACGACCAAAGAAGCGGTGTATACGCTCTCGATGTGCGGTGTAGATCGTGTTCACCGCAACCAGGATCGAATTGCCGAGACAGAGTGGGGTGAGTAGATGGTTTAGGTCTAAAAACGTTGGTAATTTTTACTATTTCCTGAAATGGAAGATGTAGAGGTGATGGCTTACCGTCATAATAATCTGCCAAAGGCGCCAGGCCCCAGATTTCATAGAGGCAAATTTGGAAATAGGTAATGAAGGCACCGCCAGCCGTGACCCATATTGGTACCGCCTGAATTAGCTTTTGTATAACACTTAGTAGCTATGAAATTCCTTGTCGGTCTCTCCCACTCTCTCTCTCTCTCTCTCTCTCTCTCTCTCCTCCCCCTCTCTCTCTCTCTCCCTCTCTCTCTCTCCCTCTCGTTCTCTCTCTCTCGTTCTCTCTCGTATTCTCTCTCCCCATCTATCTCTATCTCGCTCTCTATAACTGACGATATTCACACCAAATAAAATGAAGAGTAGACGGCCCGCTTATGCAACCTTCTAGTCAACTCACTGTGCCGCTTATTGTCCCGCAAACCGATAAAAACCCTAAAACCGATTTTTTTGGAATTGAATGATCTTCTACCGGTAGATGATGTAGAATGCGGCCAGCACATCCAACCCAGCCGTCGCGTAGTAATATAGAAAGGCTGCGGTAAACCAACCATTCAAAGAGGAATCAAAGTAAACAACACGCTTGTCGATTAACATGTTGTAATACTAAATTCCACATGGATTGGTATAATCGTGATATTACTGGATGGTCTACAGGGATGTCTTCTTTTGCCACTTCGCCCACATATAGAAAAACATAAAATGGGATGTTGATGATGAAACAAATAACGTGCAGGCCGTGTAAGGCGGGTTCAGTGATGTGGTATTTTCTAAATTTTGGTTGCGTATTGACCGAGAAGAGAGAAGAGAAGAGAGAGAGAGAGAGAGAGAGAGAGCGATAGAAACAAATACTTACCCAAACTTCCGATTTTTCAACAAATAAAGCCGAAACAATAAACACCAGACGATCGTTGTACCAGTCGATTGTATCAGCAGGAAAAGGAGAAGCTATTGAAAAATTAATTAAAAGCTCTTAATAGATACCAGAATATATATTGGTGGTATGCCCAAATAAGCATATAGGCCGTTGAAGGATAGACCGATATACGGAAGAGTGAAGGAAACTTGACCGAGCACGAGGGTTGTCTCGAGGATCAGGAGCAACGTCTAGACAAAATTATTGCATTTAGCTATTCATTGAGAAGTAAAAAGCTAGTTTAAAGAAGAATTTACATGTGTCATTGAGATATAACAAGTATGTGCTAACGCATCTTGACATCGTCGTCTCCACAGCGTCTTGATCACCACCACGTAGACGCACACGCAGAAGAAATGGAGTGTGATTGTGTAGATGGCTACCCCAGTGTCAGTGAGCATCCTTGAATACCTCGCTTTTACATGACAAAATGTGAAAATGTTTATTGTTATTCTTGCTAATATTATTTGTTTAGGACTTAAAAACCGATCAGAATGTTTTAGATAAAAAGTTTGCTAAACTTTCAGATGAAGACTGTAGGGCCATTCAATTTTTTGGGGTGGTGAAAACCCCTATTCATTACTGAACGAAAACATTGAAAAACACCTGGCTGGTGGGGCGGAGCTCTGAATTTATTAGGAGAACTGGGTGAGCAACACGTTTGCAGTTGGAGCTTTGCTTCAGAATAGTTTCTAGAGCTTCACGTTCTGAGCTTCTGGCTTTTGATCACTTTTCTCTTGTATCTACATACTCTGATGAAAATCTTGCGATTTTTGATTGTTCAGGCATCGTTAGCATCAATCGCCGACGTTCAACAAGTTCAGAAGCGGTCGGCGCTCAGTAGCGGCCATTTATGGCCCCAAAAATGAGGCAGGTGCTCGTTAAAGAGCCCCAAAATTACATTTTCTGCTCGATCTGAAAAACAGGTGTCATGTGACTAGAGCTGGATGTTAAATCGGGGCCTATTACTAAATTTATTTTGGTGCTAGCCAAACCCATTTATTTTCGGAATAGGGAGGTTTAATCAACCGTGTAAATCGCGTCTCAAAAGATCTGAAAATTCTGTAAATTGTACTCTATTTCGCGCCGTTGCGGCTCTTCTACTAAAAAATTCAGCGGCGCGTTGCCGACGAGTTCAATCTCGTGACCTTGGAACCTTCCTTTACTGATAAAATGGCAAAGTGTAAGACACCGGCCTTAACACAACCAAATGAAAAATGATAAAATCACCTGACGAACGGAAGTGGGTTTTATAGTCTATTGTGATGGTCAGCGGTGTACAGGTTAACAAGTTTGACTAGAATTTAGCGCACATGGTTTTTTCGGACTTCTCTTTGCCTCTGCTTTCTCAATAAACCCTGCATTACAATCGGGGCCCAAACTTTATTTCAGGTGGTCCCCTTCCAAAATAATCATATCCCATTAATGTTTTTGAGGAATTGCAGGGCGTTGCTTTCGGCAATAGTTTCCTTTTCGTTGAGTATGGAGAGGCCCGGTTGATTTTGGGTCGTGAAATCAGGGACAACGACAACGTCTGAAAGTATATTCCTCCATTTAAACTTTGTTTTTTTTTGGTTCTGGCTGTAAAACATGCATACCCAATTTTCCAATCTCATATGCTGTTTCATCCATGAACTGCTTGATCCTGGGGATGCTGACGGTTGATACGGTTTGTTGGTTGTGATAAACGGTAATCTGAAACAATGCTTTGATGGAAAACGCTTAAAAATAGCGAGGTTCAAGAAAACGGGTATCGAGTGCGTTTACATACCTTAAAAGTATCATTCGAAGAGGTAGCCGGATAATCTGTAAGCGCCAACGCCACTTGAGCCGGTTTCAGCGATTCCAATGGCAAAAATGTATCTTCGAGGTATTCCGAACCTCTGGAAATAGGTTGAAGTTTGAGTTTCACCAGACTCACATGCTTTTGTTACCAATCGACGGAAAATTGCTTAATGCCCTCAAAGAATAGTGATGTCGAATATTCAAAGTGAAATTCGAGGGAAATTCCGAGGAGTCAAAGCACGGAAATAGATATCTACAGCCCTTCGAGGAGGTCTGAGGATTCATAAAAACAAGACCGTATCTGGAATCGATTTTAATAACAGACTATATCGTATTTCCACACCTTGTACCATCTCCAGCGGCATAGTTATACTCCTTTATCTGCGCATTCAAACGCCCAGTAAAATTTATGACCGCAAAATAGTTTTGATCCACCGTGAAATTATTGGCCGGGATGAATGACTGTATCTCGCTCTATAAAATATAATTAAGTCTTCTGAAGCTTATTACCTCCTTTTTGTAAGTACCCTTTTTCAATGGATACTTTTGGCCTCCAGAATACAGCTCAAAAGATATAAGGTCGAGATTTAGGCCTCGATGCAAAAATAGGCGCTGTGTAGCCTCTTCAGCCGTAAAGCTAATATTGACCATACCTTGGAAGGTCTAAAATTGACTATTCAAGGTATGTTGCGGTACCTTACCTGACTACTGACAGTATTTTGCATAGGAAATGTCAAGAAAACAGAATATCCGGTGGGAGTATTGATAGACGGTAGAACTGTGGGGACTTCTTCATCTCGAATATCTTTTTGCATTAATGTAAAGAAAAGGATCAACGCGTAGATAAGTCTAAATCGGGCTTAAAGTACATTAAGGTTATATTTAAACCTACGCGGCCACTGTTGACAACAAAAGCCATGTTGTAAAGATTCTGGGTGTGCATTCAAAATTAGTTAGAAATGTGTAGCCCTGCGGTTTTTTAAAGTATCGAAAATTGGGCCATTGTAACATCACTTTCCGTCCAGGGCCCGGAGTGGGCGGCGCAGGGCTTCCGGGCAACACCCCACGACGAATCATTGCGCAAATATTCGGCGATGAGTGCATGCTTGTGGTTGGGAAAACAAGGGCGAAAGCCTTTAGCAAAAATAAAATCAGATTAAAGGGGCTCGGAAGTTAAAATTCGTGTGTGCGAGGATTGAGCCAACTGGTCAAAAAACGAACGGGTGTCACTGCCGAAAAGTGTGAAAAAAATGATTTCGTTGTGAAAAAGCGCAAAATATTTGAGTAAAACCGAAATGTTCTCAGGGCGAAAACG